ATTTTTCTTTTTAACAAGTACTACTAGAGAGCTCCAAGGGCTTTTTGATTTATGAATTATTTCTTCTTTTTTCATTTTAGCAATTTCTTCTTTTATATAGTTTTGTTCTATAGGGGATGCTCGATATGCTCTTTGTTTAATAGGATATTCATTTTCTGTATATATATTATAATAGACTATATTTGTTTGCTTTAACTCAGAGAACTGAGTAGCAAATATCTCAGAATTTTCTTTCAAAAAACTAGATATAATATTTTGTTATTCATTATTTAGATTTGATCCTATTAATATAGCTTTATCTTCAGTAATATTCACTTTGTTAGATGGTAGTTGCTTATTTTTAGCTTTAATTTTTAGTTTAACCAACTTGAACAGGTCATCAACTTCTTTAGTTCACTATTTTCAATTCTAATGTTAGACATCATTTTGTCATCAACTTGAGAAAAGTATTGATTGGTTTTAATCTTTGTGGTAAAATATTTATCATTAGGTCTTTTTCTTCTTTTTCTAATTCTAATTTATATTCTTTATTGATTAATTGTTTATATTTAATAGGATATAGTTGGGTAGGTTTTTCTATTCGATCCCAACAAGTGATAGATATATAATCAATATTATCACCTTCACCAATTGACATTAGACCTAGTCTATAGTCAATTACTGTTTTTACTTGATCCAAGTATTCATTGTCTAGAACTATATTATATTTTTGTGATTTTGTTACAATTATATTGATAAAAATTTCATTAGCTCCAATTTTAACAGAAATATCTTTAACTTTTCCTAGAGGTGTTTACCGGTTACCAGTAATGTTTACAATTTGAACATTACTTGGTCTATCAATTTGTTTTCCTATTCGGTCTAGAAATTGTTTAGCAATTACATATCCTTTTGATCTAGTATCAATAAGAACATTAACTTTATAACCAAAGATCTGAGCAGTAGAGAATAGAGCATCTTGTACAATTCTTTTTAGTGAGTTTTCTTGTTTCAAGCTTTGATTTAATCCTTTTATTTCAATATATTTATCATTATTATCCTCCAACCAGATATTATTTATATGCTTTTCTTTATTAATATTATTAGTTCCAATATTTATATTATTTTCATTATTTATATTATTGTCATCAGAGAGACTATTATAATAATTCATAATTTTAATTTTTAAATTAGGATGTGGCGACATAGTGTAGTTGGCAAGTTGTCACCCCCCAAATGGCAGGTCTAGGGTTCAAATCCCACTGGCGATGATTTTGAAAAATTAAGAT